CCGGGCGACGACCGAGCCGGTATAATTTTCGAAGGCGTCAATACCATGAGTGGCAGGTGGCTGAATTTTTGCGGAGACTTGCCACCGTCTCCAACCCTCCTCCTTTCTCATCCGGGCTTGGGTCCGGCCATGGCGGAGTTACGGAAAAATTCAAGAACTGAAAATTCACCACGATCGATATCTTCACCAACGGTGTGAACAAACATCGCGGCTACGTAAATTGTTCTTAGACCACTCTTAAACGCCCCAAGTTGCGTCGCGCCGACTTTTATGACTGTAATTGCTTCATTTCGAAACCACATATATCAGCATGTCCGATGAAATTAGACGATGTTTCAAAACTTGCCGCCTTAATGTGTTTTTCTACCGGGGCAAAACCTTAGTAAGCCTATTGTGTAGTATGTCTGTTCTTCGCCCCAACTTTCAGCGTAAAACCGTGCTCTATCAGATAGCCTGCAATAGATGTGACCGGATATTTATTGGCATGCCTTATCGAGTGTTAAAAGCTAGGTTAACGGAGGACAGGGACGCTATCAGGTATCGTAATGCTGATTATTCTGGTTTCGTTGCTCATGCCATGGAGAAGTGTTATGATTTTTACAACAGTGATGAAACGATAGTCGATCGACATCTGGACAAGGCGAAGCTATTAGTCAAGAAGTCGCTACACATTGTTGCTGGCAAAAATAAAACTTACAACGATTGCATTGGCTCCACTGACATTTCTGCGGCGTAGAGCGTGCTTCATAGCTTAATTTGCGACCGGCTAGCGTCCAATCAACCGAGTCAAGCACCAATTAATCCAGCAATTTGTTGTTGTTTGGTGTTTATTCTTTAATGATAACTGATGCCAATTCTGTCGAAGCGTTGAAATATTGTAAATAAAACAATTTTCTTGTTACCAATCATGAAATCAGGTGTATCACCTCTAAGCCATCAACGAAACTGTATTAGTATGAGCGATAGCAATGATTTAATTTAAAATTAGTTCTTCGTTTCTCTTGAAATTTCTTCAGAAGACATGCCTCTTAGTAACTGTGTGTATAATTTCATAAATATTATGAAGTAAGGCATTCCATTCGTTGCGGGAAACTAATACAGACTGCTGTGAAAGAAGTTAGGTTAGTCTAGAGTACGGTATTCTATCGCCTGTTACAATTTCAGTTTGAACGTCGTAGAAGTGTGTTAGTGCGAAAGTTTAATAACAGGTACTTTGAGAAAGAGTTAGCTGAAACGGAAATGGGAACTAACCGCGTGACTGGTAACACCATGCCATTTCGCCATGCCTCTGATCAGTATGAATCGAGTGGCCAAGAACCTGCCGAGCCTGAAGCCGATGACAATGTGAATACTGACAGTTCGTGCGATGATCATAGCGACTACGACCAATCAACCGGTGACCGCTCGATTCATGATATTGTACCTGCCGATGACCATGTTACTAGTGACTTCGAGATTGGTAGACGATCAGCCAGTATTTGCACGTACATCAACTTTGCAGCTGTCCAGCATGAAATTGCCGAGTTTAGAGTCACTGGCGGTGGAGCCGGTGACCGCGCAAACGGTGAGCTTGCAGCTACTGGAGGTGCAGCCGATGACCATGCAAATTCCGAGTATGGAACGAATGATCACGCAGTCACTGACACCTCGACCGCTCAACATGCGGAGAGTGACAGCGCGACCGATGTCCATACCGCCTTCGAAAGTGCTCTTGCTGATCGTGTAGTCGTCAACAACACAGCCGATGATGGCTTGTCTGTCGATGACCATGATAAGGTTGACTCTGATGCTGGAGACGGCATGCCCGTTAACCTGACGCCGACTATGAGCGCAAGCGGTCGTGCAGCCGATGGCCATTTGATACGCCTACCGGTCGCAGATGACTCGCTGGCTAAGACCTTAATGCTTTTCGAGAACATTGTCAATGCACGCAGCAACTGTGCCGAGGTTTTTGTAAGTTTATGAAATTCCGTGGTATTGATGAAGATTTTGAAACTACTTCTCCCGTTTGTAGATGGTATTTCTCGATCGACCGGGAGAAGGCACCTTGGCCAAGTACAGTGGGTATGAAGAAAAATTTGTTGAACGTGAAAAACATTGAGCATTTAGTTTCGAGGATGACGGTATTGATGACTTGAAGTCTGGACTCAGCATGGTATACGAGTTGAAAGTGAGTGCATCGAGTCCACATGTCGTCTTTGGCTTATTGCTTTACGACGAAGATCTAAAGTCTGTGAGTTTGGTATGTTGTTCTCATTTTAAACAGATAAATGGGATGTTTTACGTGATAATTTTTTCTTCATCAGGATGGCTCCAAACGTGTTTATTCTCCGTAGATATACTTAGAGAAGGTTGCCCTAGTTTTACAAGCAGTCGTACTTGATTCCTCTTTAAGGGCTATGCCATAAAAATATCAGTGTCATTTGCTCATACCGCGTCTCATATTAACGTCTAGCTAATCTGCCATTTGCTTGAAGGCTAGATTCACCCACGT